TTTGTTCGTCTCTCCCTTCACCTCCTCGGCTATGGCTTCCTTCACCCTTCTCGGTCTCCTCCTCTGTCCTCTCTTTCACCCTCTTCGTCACTCTGTGGTCGAGCTCCGCGGCTATGGCCGCCTCTTCACTTCATGGGACTGCACGGCGCACTTCACAGGTACGTGACAACCAAACTTGTATCGCTCGTCTCTCTCTCTCTCTCTCTCTCTCTCTCTCGCGCGCGCGCGCCGTAGCGATATCTTCAACGCAGGTACGTGATAAGCCAATCTTGTATCGCTCAACCTCTCTCTCTCTCTCTCTCTCTCTCTCTCTTCGTCATGGCATGTAGCTCCCTGCGGCACACGACGACGCGCGTGGAATAGCGGGTACCAGCTCCGATACCAATGGAATCAGACTCGCTATCTTCCACACTTCACATGCATGCAAACAGGTGTGCCGCAAACTGGCGACAAGCGCCCACTCAAAACTCAGAGATATGGTAGCCGAGAACACAGTTCAGATACAAGTTCACTTCAATGGCTATGGCGACTCAGCGCCCACACAACTCTCTGTTCGCACACACAGGATCACCCTAGATATCCCACGCACGATACTCTGTACACAGACACACACACACACGCTGAACTCTACCTACAGCTATGGCGGCTATGGCCGCTGCTACCCTATAGCCATGGCTAAACCCCTTCTCTCTCGCCCACTTCGTCTTCGGGCTCACTGCAGACCACCTAACACAAGTCGCTGTGGCAGCGCTTCCGCATGGCTCACGCAGGAATGAATGAATGGCTGGGCGCTGCCTCTTGCTTTATACTTCTGTAGTTTGTTGATCTGGCCCTTTCCCATGCCCGTAGTGCACACAGTCCTTAGCGGTACTTGCTGACTGGACTAAACTGACTGGGACTGGGACGGCTGACTCAGCACGGGTAGACTCCACCACTTGCCCACTTGCCTCAGCCTAAACGTGGGCAACTTCGAAAGGCCACTACTAGGACCTTCCGGAAGGCCGTGGACTTGGCCTTTCGATACTGTAGCAGCTACGACCTTGACCCTTCAGGACTGTAGCAGCTACGACCTTGACCTTTCGGAGGAGCTGCGGCTACGACTCCTAGACCCTGCTAAGACTCCTACCGGACAGGTCTACGGATCGAACCCCTACTACCTACAGACCCTACGACAGTCGCGGGTTCAACTCTAGGGATCGACACAGGTAAGGTGAGAACTAGGGATTGAGCCCTGGGATCTACATCGGCTACTGCGAATAGGTGAATACCGTTTCATCTCTCTGT